GCTGTTAGCCTAGCCCTGGGGGAGGAGGGTAGGCAGAAGAGGGGTTTGAGCCTGGGTTATTCTCCAGGGTACTTATAGCCTGGGATCTTCAATGGGGAGGCCCTGAGGAGCCCTCCAAATCTGTAATGGGTGAATAAATGAATGATGAAGCAGAGAGTCAATGAGGGAATGAATCAGTGAATGAACTCAATTGAATGAATGATGAGGGTAGTATAAATAGCCTCCTGTGTACTTGAATGTATCACATGTGTGTGCACATGAGGACATGTGTGAGAAAGCCAGATGACACTGAGAATAACAATCTCTTTCTCTGTCTCTGTCTCTGTCTCTCTCTCCTCTTCCTCTTCCCCTCCTTTCCTCCCACCCCAGGGTCCCCAGAAGAAACATCTTGAGAAGGAGAAGACAGAAGCAGCAACAGGTGACCTATGAGGCAGAAGAAGCTAGGCATCCAGAGTAGGACCTTGGCCTAATGGTTCCTCCCCTATCAGAGAAAGCTTCTCATCAATAAAAGAGACTGTTGGGGAAAATTCAATAAGTATTTTTTTGTATGGCACGCATACTTCTATCCCTTACATGTGTGCCTGCTGAACACTACTCTAGGTTCAAAGTAAACTGTGGACATGGATTAGCATCCACTCAAAACTGTAGTTCGCAAGCCCTCACCAATGTATTTCTTTTACCAGCCATCTAAAAGATAGATGCTAGCTCAAAAAGATATTCAAATTAAGTATCATAGCAGGTTGGTCCATCCAACCTGGGCCTTATGATAGCCAAGTTATTCTATTCCCCACTTCCATTCCTATGATGCCTTAACATTATTGAAAGGGAAAACTCTCCCAGCTTGCTGAAACAGGTCTTATAAGTAGATATGAACTTTGTAGCATTGGACCAATCTTCCATACCCCATTTGTTCTTGGATGACTACGAGTGGGAACAACTACGTGATGAAGATTTGAAAGAAGTAGCCTAGACCAAGGGGCAGCAAAGTAGTGAAGTGGATAGAGTGCTGGGCCTGGAGTCAGGAAGACTCATCTTCCTGAGTTCAAATCCAGCTTCAGCCACTTACCAGCTATGTGACCCTGTACAAGTCACTTAACCCAGTTTGTGTCAATTTTCTCATCTATAAAATGATGGTCATGAGTGAGATACAGGATTTGCCCAAATAGAAGACCTGCATGTATATATATTTTTGTGTATATATATATATATATATATATATATATATATATATATATACGTACATGGAAGACCTCAGAAAAGACTTGGAAGAACTCAGTCAGTCAATAAGCATTTATTAAGCACTTACTACGTGCCAGGCACTGTGCTAAGTGCAAGGGATACAAAGGAAGTCAAAAGACAATCTCTGTCCTTAAGCAGCTCACAGTCTAATGGGGGAGACTACATGCAAACAACTATGAACAAGATTTATAGAGGATAAATTGGAGTAAATCAACAGAGGGAAAGCACCAGCATTAAGGGGGATCAAGAAAAGCTTCTTGGAGAAGATAGGCATTTAGCTGGGACTTGAAGGAAGCCAGGAAAGCCAGGAGGTAGATATGAGGAGGGAAAGTATTCCAGGGATGAGGGAGAGCCCACAAAAATGCCCATATTCAGGAGATGGAGTATCTTGTGTGAGGAACTGTTGGTTATTGGCATCATCCGAGAGTCCAGCAATCCATGTGTATTACTTAGAGTGGTGGTACCGAAGAATTTGGAAACATGAGTGTGTGTAGGTTTTGAGCTAGAGAACTAAGGTGGACAAATATGAGTTCAAGATGTCTTGTACTGTTTGTTTGGCAGCCCATGGTTCTCAATTTTGGAGTACACAGTGGATACTATCAGATTGCTTTAACAGAGGTAGACAGAGAGACGACAGTTTTCATCGTCCCAGCTGGATTTTTACCAGTTTGAGTGCATGCTCCAAAGAATCTCTGATGCATTTGCCACATTTTAATGGCTTATGGAGAAAAAGGCTGGAAACACGAACTATTCAGGAATGATGGAGTACCACAATGACCTCATTGTCTTAGGAAAGACACTGGTTCTTTCCTTCTGCTCCACAGTCTGTTTTACCTCTGCGCATCCACCGGGAATCATCAGTGATCCCCGGCTCCCCACATACATAGCTGGCAGGAAGTCTCTCTCAAGGGCTGAACTGTTCTTGTCTCAGACCACAGCGGCAACCACGAGCCATTGCTGCCATCACCCACAATGTGGTCTCAGTCATAACACAGCAGTGTGGATTGCAGCTGTTGGCAAGAGAGGGAGGCCAGTCCCCAAATCTACTAATGGCAGGCAGGGAGCCCCAGTTCAGGTGCTTCATGTACCCTGGCCAACAGGAAGTGACCTCCAAAGTCAATGGAAAAGGAAATGGGGAATTCTAGGAACCTGCATGCCCGCATCTAGGTCTCACCACTCCCAGTGTCTCATCAATCTGTTCCCTTATATTGTGAACCTATGGAGCCAGATATTTTAGACATAAGAAAAAACACAAGAAGAAATACAAGACTGGGATGACCTCTGGGTATGTAACATAAACGGAGGTGCTTGAGGTTATTCTAATGTTTTATGGCCAGAGAGAAAGACACACCAAGAGATAGGTACAGAGACACACAAAGAGACAGAGACACATAGAGACAGAGAGTCACCATTCTTCACAAAAAAGATGACAGATACTAGAGACCAGTGAGAAAAGACACGAAGGAATAGATAACCTTTGAGCACTTGGACTTGCTGAGGGATCAAGAGGGGGAAAGCACCAGCATTAAGGGGGATCAAGAAAAGCTTCTTGGAGAAGATAGGCATTTAGCTGGGACTTGAAGGAAGCCAGGAAAGCCAGGAGGTAGATATGAGGAGGGAAAGTATTCCAGGGATGAGGGAGAGCCCACAAAAATGCCCATATTCAGGAGATGGAGTATCTTGTGTGAGGAACTGTTGGTTATTGGCATCATCCGAGAGTCCAGCAATCTCAAGTAGTGGCTGTTACATTTCATAAGGTTACATGAAGAAAGACTACATTCCCTGTTGGTGATACTGGTGGCTAGCAAGTGGCTACGAAATGAGAGCTGACTGCTTTAGTAGCTAAAAGTAGTTAGCTTTCCCCGTAATATTGATACTGGGGGAAATGTGGAGCATCTCTCTATGAAGGCCTTTGGTTGTTCTTGTTGAAAACTAAGTGCAGAAGATTAGGTGGGGGTAGCTGGGATATCAGATCTTCTCAGACCAGCTACAAAGGCACTGAAGTTCTAAAATTATATTTTCTTTTACATTTATTTTTTTCTTTAATAAATTTTTTATTTTTTTATCTTTAACATGTGTTTTTAAAGCTTTGAGTTACAAATTTTCTCCCTTCCTCCCTCCCCACCCACCCTCATTGAAAAGGCAAGCATCTCGGTACAGGTTATAGATGGGTAGTCATGCAAAACACTTCCAAAGTAGTCCTGTTGTGAAAAACTAAGTATATTTCCTTTCATCCTATCCTACCCCCCATTTATTCTACTCTCTCTTTTGACCCTGTCCCTCCTCAGAAGTGTTTGCTTCTTATTATCCCCTCCCCCAATCTGCCGTTCCCGCTATCAATCCCCTGCTCTCTTGTCCCCTTCCCCCCTTATTTTCCTGTAGGGTAAGATAGATTTCCACACCCCATTGTGTATCTTATTCCCTACTTAAGCCAAATCCTATGAGAATGAGATTCACTCATTCCCTCTCACCTTCCCCCATTTCCCCTCCACTGTAAAAACCTTTTCTTGTCTGTTTCATGTGAGATATTCTACCTGATTCTACTTCTTCCTTTCTCTTTCTCCCAGTATAATCCTCTCTCACCCCTTAATTTTATTTTCCAGATATCACCCCTTCATCTTCAACTCACCCTGTGCCCTCTATCTATGTACATATAGATACATATGTATACATATGTATATCATACATATGTATAATTTTTTCCCTCCCACTACCCTAATACTAACAAAGGACTCATGAGTTACAAATATCATCTTTCCCTGCAGGAATGTAAACAGTTCAACCTTAATAAGTCTCTTATCATTTCTCTTTCCTGTTTATCTCTTCCATGTTTCACTTGAGTCTTGTATTTGAAGGTCAAATTTTCTATTCAGCTCTGGTCTTTTCCACAGGAATGCTTGAAAGTCTCTTATTTCATTGAATGACCATTTTTTACCCTGAAGGATGATATACTCACTTTTGCTGGGTAGGTGATTCGAGGTTGTAGTCCTAACTCCTTTACCCTTCAGAATATTATATTCCACACCCTGCGGTCCCTTAATGTAGAAGCTGCTAAATCTTGTGTTATCCTGATTGTGTTTCCACAGTACTTGAATTGTTTCCTTCAGGCTGCTTGCAATATCTTCTCCTTGACCTGGGAATTCTGGAATTCGGCTACAACATTCCTAGGAGTTTTCCTTTGAGGATCTCTTTCAGGAGGTGATCGGCAGATTCTTTCAATTTCTATTTTGCCCTCTGGTTCTAAAATATCAGGGCAGTTTTCCTTGATAATTTCTTGAAAGATGATGTCTAGGCTCTTTTTTTGATCATGGCTTTCAGATAGTCCAATAATTTTTAAGTTCTCCCTCCTGGATCTTTTTTCCAGGTCAGTTGTTTTTCCAATGAGATATTTCACATTCTCTTCTAATTTTTCATTCCTTTGGATTAGTGTTACAGTACCTTGATTTCTCAAATTGTCTCTAGTTTCCAATTTCTCCATTCTAATTTTTAAGGAAGTATTTTATTCAGTAAGCTTTTGGACTTCCTTTTCCATTTGGCCAATTTTGCTTTTTAGGACATTCTTCTCATTGGCTTTTTGGACCTCTTTTGCCATTTGGGTTAGGCTATTTTTAAGGTGTTATTTTCTTCAGTATGTTTTTGGGTCTCCTTTAGCATCACTCTCAGTTTTTCCTCTACTTCTCTTACTTGCTTTTTAAAATCCTTTTTGAGCTCTTCCATGGCCTGGGACCAATTCATATTTTTCTTGGAGGCTTTGGATGTAGGAGCTTTGGCTTCATTGTCTTCTTCTGGTTGTATGTTTTGATCTTCTTTTTCATCAAAGTAAGATAATATAGTCTGACTCTTTTTGCGTTGCTTGCTCATGATCTCAGCCAATTACTTGAGTTACAGACTCTTTGTTAAGGTAGGAGTCTGTTTCCAGTGTGGAGAATGTACTGTCCCAAGCTTCGCGGGCTTTGTGCAACTGTTTTCAGAGATACTTCTAGGAACCTGTACATTTTCAGTTCTTCCAAGGAGATATGATCAAGGGCAAGGTGTTTACTCCTTTCCTGGCCTGTGCTCTGGTCTATGAGCACTGTTTTCTGTCTTGGAACTGTGAGGAGGGTTTCCTCTCCACAGCCACTACAAGCTCCACCATGCCAGCACTCCTCCTCACCCCAAGAACGCCACCCAGAACTGTGACCCAGATCCAA